TGTTGCCTCTGGGTTGTTCTTGAACCACTTTTGAAGCCATTTCTAAATCTTCTTCTTTTTCTTCTTGATCGTTATTCTGACTGCCGAAACCCCCTCCAAGACTTGCCCAAAACGATGAAAGAAATACCTGGAGACGACCGTTGCGCGCCTGTCCTTCTGGGTCTTCGGTCGCCACAATTCAAATCTTAAATCTTTCTCTCTAATTTTCTCTCCCTTTCTAAAAATTCTTCTCTGATTTTGCTGTTGAATGGTAATGCAGAGGAAAAGAGCTTTGGGAGACTAATTGGGGTATATATGGTTGAAACGTCGAGACGCTTCTCTTCAACGGTCATATTCTTCCTATCAAGTAAGAGCCGTTAATCAAAGATTGAACGGTTCGGATCACGGCTTCGTACTTTTCCAATTTGCCTTCTAGCCGTTACTTAAGAGGCAGAATACAAGGGAGCCTTGAATTTTACCGTTTAAACAAAATTAACTCTTTTTATATTTAGGGCTTGTTTGGTAACACTAAAAATTCAATTAAAATTAAAAATATAGCTGTTATTGTGTCCCACTTGTCTAATAAAAGTCAACAATAACGGCTAATTTTTCAATTTTAATCCGATTTTAATCTCTACCAAACACACTCTTAATAATTTAAGCATTTAGATATCATGACGGTAAATATGTTATGAAGGTGTTTGGTATTGATTTTGGCCAAATGTTAATTGCTTTCCTGACCGTTAGTGGGGCCGCACCACTCACAGCCGGTCAATTGTTGCGGCTGAAATTGATATCAACGGTCAGAAAAATGGCCACCAGACAGGCCCTATGTGTCACATGTGAACACAAAATGAATTGAGTTTTTTACTTTTTATCACGGATGATTCTTCCATTTTCTGTATTATCTTTTCGAATAGTGCAAATTAAATTTTCAAAACTTTAAGTTAAAACTTTGCTTACGAGTGCACTATCATTATTCGATAATACGATGAGTTGGTTCGCTACGAACCTCCAAATAATTGGGTAGACTGCGCACCCAAGCAAGACTTCAATGGCCTGTAGTAATGCCCAATAAGTTATAATCTTAAAAAAAGTTACTTAAAAAATATTGGGAAAAATTTACAGCTCAAGTGTTTACTATTCCAAAATTAAAAATCAGGCCTCAAAGTTTACAATTACAAAAATCAGGTTTTTATTGAATTAATTAATTACATTTCAGAATTATTGTACTAAATTAAATATATAACTGTAATATAATAA